TAGAGGAAGATGAGCCAATTCTTTTCGGTACCGTGACTCTGTATTCCTTCCGCCTTCTTTTGATGGTTCCAACATTGTTCAATATTTTGCCCATAGAATCTTTCAGTATTGCAATTCAAGGCTTGAATTTTTTCTTCAGTTCTTTCAGCTTGAGAAATGCCTAGCATGTTCTCCCCTTTTGGTGTTTTAACTCTAGGTCTTTGCACATTTCATTATAATAATTGACTTTGTGTTCTCCAGCTGCTCTTTGAAACCTTCTGTTCAACTATTTTATCTTGTCATTTCTTCCATTTGCTTTAGCTACTCTTTGTTCAAGAGCAGGTTTCAGAGTCTCTTCTGACATCCATTTTGGTCTTTTCTTCCTTTCCTGTCTTTTTAATGACTTTTGCTTTCTTCATGTATGGTGTTCTTGATGTCATCCCACAATTTGTCTGGTTTTTGGTCTTTGGTGTTCAGTGCATCAAATCTCTTCTTCAGATGGTCTCTAAATTTAGATGGGATGTAATCAAGGTCATATTTTGGCTCTTGTGGACTTGCTCTAATTGTCTTCAGCTTCATCTTGAACTTGCAGATGAGCAGTTGATGGTCTGTTCTGCTGTCAGCTCCTGGCCTTCTTTTGGCTGAAGATACTGAGCTTCTCCATCGCCTCTTCCCATGGATGTAGTTGATCTGAATCCTGTATAGTCCATCTGGTGAGGTCCATGTCTATAGTCACCATTTATGTTGTTGAAAAAAGGTATGTGCAATGAATAAGCAGTTGGTCTTGCAAAATTCTATCATGCAATCTCCAACATCATTTCTGTCACCAAGGCCGTATTTTCCAACTACTGGTGATTGTTCTTTGTTTCCTACTTTTGTATTCCAATGACCAGTAATAATCAATACATTTTGATTGAATGTTTGGTCAATTTCAGACTGCAGAAGTTGGTAAAAATCTTCAATTTCCTTGTCTTTGACTTTGGTAGTTGGTGTATACATTTGAATAATAGTGGTATTAACTGGTCTTCCTTGTAGGCATTTGGATATTATCCTATCACGGACAACATTGTACTTCAGGAAAGATCTTGTGATGATGAACGCCACACCATTCCTCTTCAATACGTCATTCCCGCCATAGTAGATCATATGGTTGTCTGAGTCAGAATGGCCAGAACCAGTCCTTTTCAGCTAACTAATGTCTAGGATATCAATCTTTATGCATTCCATTTTGTTTTTGACAACTTCTAGTTTTCCTAGATTCATACTTTATACATTCTATGTCCCGATTATTAATGGATGTTTGCAGTTGTTTCTTCCCATTTGAGTTGTGCCACATCATACAGTGGAGGTCCCAAAAGCTTTACGCCATCCATATCATTAAGGTCAGCTTTACTTTGAGGAGGCACCTCTTCCCTAGTCATGTTTTGAGTGCCTTCCAACCTGAGGGGCTTTTCTTCTGGCAGTATATTGGACACTGTTTCAGGGCTATTCATAAAGGTTTCCAGTAATATATCAGGCGGTGTTTCACTGCTATTCATAAGGTTTTCACTGGCTGATTTTTTGAGAGGTGGATAGCCCCTTCCTTCTTCCAAGTCTGTCTTAGTCTGGAAGCTCCACTGAAACCTGTCCACCATGGATGACCCTGCTGGTATTTGAAATACTGCTGGCATAGCTTCCAGCCTCACAGCAACACACGAGCCACCACAGTACGACAAACTGATAGACGAGTGTTGGGGGGCAACTGTAGTGCTCTCTTTATTTATTTCCTGTCTCTAAGGATTATTTTTCTTCATTACTTGATGTCCAGTATCTTTAATCTGTTTTAGTTTTATATATTTTGCCCATTTTTCAGTTGTTTGTGGTGGGTGATTAAATCTTGTCCCTGTTAATCCATGTTGACCAGAAGCATAAGTACCTTTAACTAGTAATTGATTTGTATTGGTTACCCCTGAAAGTGTTCTTATATGTTTATTAACCTAATCTCTTCATTTTATTGATTTATATGAAGCCTGTAACTGTCATATTCTTTGTTCAAAGTCTGCTGCTCCTTATAATTATCTTGGTACAACATAAACATTAAATTGACCCCAAAGCCTTTTATCATCTTTTAATATACTTCTTTAATGTAGATTTTCACAGTGTTAGCTAAATAACAATTTAATGTGGGCTTCTAACTATATGGAGTAGCATATAATTAAATGACATATCCTGACCTGATAAAGCAGAGAATGAATCAGATTTTCAGGACATTGCCTCAGCAGGCTCAAAGACTTCCAGGAGGCTTTTGTGTATGATACCTTGTATTTTCTAGCAGCTAAAAAGTCGGCATCAATGCCTGACTTTTATTAGCTTAGTTGAAGTTATAAAGGACTGATTAACTAAGACAAAAATAAGAACATGAAAGAGGAGAAGAAGAATCATTTTGAGCAGTGTAGGAGACGAAACTGTACTGAAGAAATAATACTACAAGGATGGGAGTGACTTGGAACACAGTGGTGGTAAGCTCTTAAAGAGGAAAAGTAGCAGAATCAAAATAAAATGACAGAAGTATGATTTATATGAGAAGAACTTCTTTTTCAAAGATTTGCTATCGCATAACTACTGTAGTTTTTAGCATATACTTGCTTATTGGATATCCAAGGATAAAATAATTTAGTCAGGCATACCTTGGGAAAAGATAATGTATGTAGTGAGTAGGTTGAAACCATCTGGCTATATATGTGAACTAAAATGTAACAAAATGATGTTTTTAATGACCTTTCTATGTAAGTGATGTAAAATATACATCACTATGTGTAAGTTCCATGTATTAAAGTGAATAAATCGTAATTACTTTTGGATGGTGATGATATACCATATATATGTGTGTGTATAAGAGTTTTGTAGCTTTAAGTATGTAAGAATTAGATAGCTTTTAAAAAATACAGACTGCCTGTAGATGGATGTGATGTTAAATTTCTAAGACCTAAAAACTATTGTGGGTTGATAATACTAAAAAAATAATGTCTATTTGGGGAATAATACATATAATTTAAGCCTTCCAAAAACTAGGGTTGCTGTTTAGTAATTAAGAAAGAAATATTGAATGATTGACTGACATTGACATGGCATTTGTTTGTGGATGAATTGTAAGACTTCATCCCAGTAGTTCATATGGATTGGGGAAGTATGCAGAGCAGTATTTGCTTTTATTTTCTTTGATATAGGAAGCGTAGATTTTTCATAGTCAAAAATACATGTTATAGGGAAGGATAAACACCAAAGTCAGAAGGAAAGGAAGGGAGTGCTATCAAGGAAGGGCATTCATTTGTATTGATGACATTTTGTTTTGGTTTTTAAAGCACACTTTTTTTTTTTTTTTTTGGAAAGGTCATAGCAGCTTTATTTGTAGTAGCCCCAAAGTAAAAAACTCTACTGTCTTTCATCCCCCCGCCCCCCAAAAAAAACCCAAACCTGTTGTCATCGAGTCAATTCCAATTCATGGTGACTTCATGTGTTACAGAGTAGAATTGTTCCATAGGTTTACTAAAGTCTCCCATGTATCTGATATACTTTATAAAGCTGATAGAGACCTAAGTAACTGAACACTTTAAAATGGAAAAAGAACATAAATAATTATGTGAGGTCAAAGTAGTAAAAATTAGTGCTTTTTGAAACATAATGCATTATTGGCCTTTTATAACTGCAGTTTAACTCATATTTATGGGAAAACAAAGTACAGGCATGTGAGTTAAACATTTACCTCAAGTAGACACACGCCCTGGAGAGAACAATCATGGGAGAAGGAAGGGCTGCTTATGCACAGGGAGATAGCTCAGGGTGCAGAAGAGTATGGAGGGATGGACACTGGGAAGAGGTAACTATGGGGAGGAAGTGGGAGGGGAGCTGTTGCATTGTAAATTTTGGTCAATGACATGAGACAAAGTATATGTGAACTGCTGTATGAAAAGTGAATTTACTCTGTAAATCTTCACCCAAATCAAAATAAAATTTAAAAAAAAAAGAATTAAATGGCTTATTCAATTATATAATAGAATATTCAAGGTATAGAAAAAAATGAGCTATTAAGATTCAAATTTTATCTATTTTAAAGGCTTTATATCTGTTATAGAATCCATAGTAGATAGAAATATGCTTAGTTTAAGGGTTTTTCTGTAATGATACTTACCTGCCTTTGTGACTTTTTGAGGGAGGGGATATTTTTTGCATGAACATGAAGATTTCAGAAATTTTATTTATTTATTTATTTTGCATATAACAAATTTTTCTACACATCTCATTTTATAAAAATATTGAAATGGAATTTTTCCCAGTTCTCAACAGTAGGTTTTTTCCTGATTAAGTTATGACTGATGTACCATTGAAAAGCCATAAAATATCTTCCTGTAAAAATGATTGGTCATTATCCTTTCTTCTTTTAATTTGTTGTTGTTGTTGTTAAGTGCTGTTGAGTCTACCCCGACTCATAGTGACCCCTTCTTGGGTTGCCGAGGCAGTATCACTACGGAAGTAGATTGCCCAACCTTCCTTCCGAGGAGTGGCTGGTGGGTTTGAACCGCCAGCCTTCTGGTTAGCAGTCAAAAGCCTTAGGCACTATACCACCAGAGCGCCTTATGTGTATATATTGTTGTTGTTGTTGTTGTTATGTGCCGTCAAGTCGGCCCCGACTCATAGCGACCCCTCCTTGGGTTTCCAAGGCAGTATCACTACGGAAGTAGGATTGCCCAACCTTCCTTCCGAGGAATGGCTGGTGGGTTTGAACCGCCAGCCTTCTGGTTAGCAGTCAAGTGCTTTAGCCACTATGCTACCAGAGCTCCTACGTGTATATATAGTATAAATTTATTAAAACCACTTACATTGAATATTTTTTGTTTCTTTCACTTTCTTTTATAAGCCACTAGGGCAGTATAGGTAAATTACTGTGTCTGATATGTTTATGAGTATTTGGTCTTTGAAGGAATTGTTAAGGATACATGACGTTTTTATTTTACTTTATTTCTGTTTTCCATTGGCAGGCAGTGGAAGAGGAAATGGCAGGTCCTAATCACCTGTGCATTCGCCGCTGGACTACCAAGCATGTAGCTATTTGGCTGAAAGATGAAGGCTTTTTTGAGTATGTGGACATCTTATGCAATAAGCACCGACTTGATGGAATCACATTACTAACATTGACTGAATATGATCTCCGTTCTCCTCCTCTGGAAATCAAAGTTTTAGGGGACATAAAAAGGTTAATGCTCTCAGTTCGTAAATTGCAAAAGATACATATTGATGTTTTAGAAGAGATGGGCTACAACAGTGATAGTCCTATGGGTTCTTTGACCCCTTTCATCAGTGCTCTTCAGAGTTCAGACTGGCTCTGTAATGGGGATCCTTCACATGACTGTGATGGACCCATCACTGACTTGAATTCTGATCAATACCAGTACATGAATGGTAAAAACAAACATTCTGTTCGAAGGTTGGACCCAGAGTACTGGAAGACCATATTGAGTTGCATATATGTTTTTATAGTATTTGGATTTACATCCTTCATTATGGTTATAGTCCATGAGCGAGTGCCTGACATGCAAACCTACCCACCACTCCCAGATATATTCTTAGACAGGTAAGTTTTGTTCCTACTTGATAAGTTTGTTGTTTATTATTGTTGTTAATACTCTCTCTGCTTTTTCTGGTAGTATATAACGATATGCTTTGAAATAGCCTTCCTAATTTAGAGTTAATTAGATTTTAAGCCTAGGTGAGTAGGAAAGACCTCCACTTATTTTCTTTTTCTATAGGTATCACTTCTTGCGCACAACAGATTTTAAAATAATTTCTTGGTATGTTATTTGTAATAATGACACTTTTTTTTTCCTTAAATGATAAACAGGATCCTGCTTTCAGAAAATAAGAAGTCTGTCATCAAATGAATTAGAATTATCACATGTAATACAAACTGTTTTATTGATAAGTTTCTGTTGTTTATATTAAATACTGAATGCATATAAAAGAATCTACTACATGTATAATATATGAAAAACTAGAATACTCAGAACTATTTTTTATATTTGTGATTTTTTTAGCTTTTATAGTACTTTTGTGTTTACTTTTATAAAACTTCTTGCCCTTTTGAAAGTGCTTTGCAGTATATGTATTTTAAAAATGAAATGAATTAAAATGTCCAGGTTAAGATGGCAGAATGGCATAAACATCATGTTTTTGCTTTCTCTCAAACTCCAACGAAAACATAGTAAAAAGTTTGTTTTGTTTTTTAAATGTTGTAAGCCCACAAGGGTTTACATCCTTCATTATGGTTAAATATGAGGCAGATAAAAGAGAAGGAAATGGCAACACATATTTGGAGGTTTGAAAGCAGATGGATGAGTGGTAACTAGAAAACCTAAAATGATCTAATTCTAAAACAGCAGTGATGAAAACTGAGAACCAAGCAGATTTGTATTGTAGATTTCTGTAAGCTCTGAATCTTGGAGGCAAAGGGGTGGTGCTAAACTAAAGAGTATTTGAATATGTAGCTGTTAGGTCCCATATTTCCTCCCCTATGTTATACCACTTTCCCAACTAAAAGAGTAGACCCTAAGGAAGTAAGAAGAAAGCTTGTGGGTATCTGGGGGAAGAGTACTGCAGGCAAAAGTAACATCAAGATGTCCTGAATTGGGCTGCAGCCTTGGTATGTCAAAGAATATTAAATGAGAGATGGGAAAAGCAGTTGAGATAAAGTCAGAGGAGAGATAAGCGGCCAGTGTGTGTAGAGATTGTAGGGATTTTGTCTTTCATTCTGAATGAAAAGAGAAGCCATTGGAAATACACCACTCCTTACTTACTGACATACACTTAGGTTCCAAAGACTGGGTGGTTGTTGTTGTTAGGTGCTGTGGAGTGGACTCCCACTCATGGTGACCCTAAGTACAACGAAACAAAACGCTGCCTGGTCGTGTACCATCCTCACAATCCTTGCTATACTTGAGCCCATCATTGTATCCACTGTGTCAGTCCATCTTGTTGAGGGTCCTCCGCGTTTTCACTGACTCTCTACTTTACCAAGTATCATATCCTTCTCCAGGAATGGACCTTCTGACCGCATGACCAAAGTAAGTAGTTAGGTGAAAATTGGTGTTAGGTGAAATTTAAGCAACCAAATACGCCTCATATTCCAGGGGTCATTTTGGAGGCTTCCTGTGAGGTTGCTTCCTCCCTTGCAGCAGCCATCTTCAACTTGCTAATCTCTGCACAGTGACTTCTATACTTTGGCAGGCAAGTAATCTTGTGCTGTTTTATACCACAGGCAGAAATGATTGGTTCAGGATTTGCAGCTAGGAAGGGACCCATCCTGCCCTGACCCATGTGGAATTCTTGCTCTTCATGGAAATGCCTACTCACCCAAACTGCCACTGCTGGCCCCAGCACCTCCAAGTGCACAAAGGGCTATCTCAGGATCTAGGGTGAAGTGACCACTGCAAGTCCTGTCTGACCCCTTTGCTGTCTTCTGGCACACTTGGAAAGCTTCATTGAGGCCATGGATTATACACGTAATTTAAAGGCCTTAGGCATTGGTATCTGGCCTTTTGTTTCTCTCTCTCTTTTAACTTTATTCACATCCAAATAGTGTGGAATAGGAGGGATCAAGGACTTGGTGCTCAGGAGGGAGGTCCTCTGTCACTCAAAACACATGGGTCCTTACTTGGCTTTAAGGTGATTTAAGTAGATTTTTTACTTTTGTTATAAATGTGAAATGTTGGATAACAAGAGAAGAGTGGATGTACTGAGTAGCAAAGTGGAGTGATCTAAGAATGTTATTTTGAGACTACCAAAGAGAGTGGGATAAGGGATGGATTGGATAACAATCTATTGAATTCATCTAGACAAAGATGATGGCAGCTTTGAGGAGAATAGTGGCGGTACAGGTGGTATGAAGGAGTCAGATTCTATATATATTTTGAAAGTAAAGCAAACAGGATTTGCTGATGGATTTGGCTGTTAGGTGTAAGAGAAAGAAGTCAAAGATGACTTTTAGCCTGAGCATCTGGAAGGATGGAGTTGCCATTTACAGAGATGGGTAGAATGTGAAAGAAGGTCACTTGGAGAGAATTTGGTTTTGGACATATGAAGTTTGAGATATCTTTTACACATTCAAAACAGAATGTCAAGTAAGAGATGAAAATATGAGCTGGAATTCAGAGAGAAATCTGTGCTGAAATTTGGGAGTTGTCAGTATAAATGAGGTCTCCTAGGGAGTGAAAAAAAGAGAAGAGGATTAAAGATTGAGCCCCAGAGCTTTCTGACATTTAGAGATCAGAAAGCAAGGAGGAACCAGCAAAGAAGATTTGAGAAAGTCAGAGCAGAGAGAGTAGTATCCTGGAAGTCAAGTTAAAAAAGCCTTAAGAAGGCAAGAATAATAATTAGCTCTTTTAAATGCTGTTGAGAGGTCAAGCAAGGTAGAATTGACCATTAGATTTAGTAACATCTGGTTAATCAGTGTCCTGACAAGAGTTAATATGCGCAAAAGCCTAATTGTTATAGATTCAAGAGAGAAGGTGAGATTTACTGGATACCACCCAAAGGTATATCCCCACCAATATAAAATAACATGCACAAGGTTATTTGTGGCATTATTTGTAATAACTAGAAATACTGGAGATAATCTAAATGCTCTGTCTAAATGGGAGTCTAGTTGAATATGCTATGGTACATCTACATAGTGGAATACTATTTAATCATAGAAAAGAATGAGGACAATTTTTGTGAACTGATACAAAGTAATTTTCAGGAAAAACAGCAATGAGCACCTTGATGTCCCTATCATGGTTTCTAAATACCTCTCCCCACTAAAAGGACCAAATCTCCTTGGAGTAATTGTTGATTTTAATTCTGGGACAAGGAAAGTACAAAATGAGCCTAAAACAAATCTTGTGCTAGACAGAAAGGAAATGCACAAAACCAGTGGAAATATTGAAAAAACATAGAAGCTGTTTTAAGTTGAATTTAATAATAATAATAAAAAGAGTCTTTGAGTCTTTGGTGATAAACAAGCCAAAAGGGTGGGATGAGTAAAAGCACTTCAGAAGGAATATCAGAAAATAAATGTGGATGGAATGATAGAATAGAAAATTACCATTTTGTAACCTGCAGAGTAATAATTGAGTCAGGTAAATCATCAGTGAATATTAAAATTCATTAGGTAAAAGGCCACTGGGGACAGATATTCATATGAAGTCAGAGTATCATCTTACATATTAATTATAGAAGGAAAAAGATACTTTCATAATGGTAGGATCTGGCAAGCATCATTTTAACTAAATGATCAAACTTAGCATTACCAGTGGGATAAACTAACATTGACAAAAGCACCTATGTTCTATTCTTACCAAAAACATTTAGCCTGAGTCTAATCATGAGGAAATGGACAAATTCAAAATATGGAACATTCTAAAAGATAGCTCATCTACTTTCTAAAATTGTGTCATACCAGACAGAAGCCAGGCAGAAGCCAGGCAGAGGGGATTTTATGGGAAGAGAAATAAAAACCAAGACAAATGCACGAGTTTTATTTGGATCCTATATCAAGACAAAAAAATGTGGGTGAAGAGAAAGGCAGTTCACTATAAGGGTCAGGTCAGCACAACAGGACCCAGGCAAAGGCAGACACTGAAAGATATGTAAGAGTAAAAGGCAACAATGGTAAAATGCTATTTCATACACAATCCTACAATAACACTAATAACAAACAATAATTTACAAGTAGATACATAGGTAGATATGTAAGCTAAACAGATGTGGGATGGCATATGGGAATGCTCTCACAAGTGTATATAGATTTGGTAGAGCATGCTTCTACATACGTATTTGTATGTGCTGCAACTATATCCGGGTATACAACAGAGCATTCTGGGGGCAAAGTTCTGAAAACTTAGCCATATCAAAACATTTTGAGGCACTGAGTTAGTTGGCTTGAGGACTTGGGACCACAGTCTCAGGGGACATCTAGGTCAGTTGCCGTAGTACAGTCCATAAAGACAATGTTCTGTATCCTACTTTAGTGAGTAGCAACTGAGGTCTTAAAAGCTTGTGAGTGGCTATCTAAGATACAACCATATTGGTCTCTTCCCACCTGGAGCATAGAAGAGTGTAGAAAATCAAAGATGTAAGGAAACAGTTAGTCCAAAGGACTTACAGACCATATGAACCATGGCCTCCACTACCCTGAGACCAAGAAGTACTAGATGGTGCCTGGGTACCACTACCGACCACTTTGATTGGGATCACAATAGGAGATCCTGGGAAGAGTTGGAGAAAAATTAGATCAAAATTCAAAATCATGAAGAAGACCAGACTTACTGGTCTGATAGAGGGTAGTGGAGCCCTTGAGACTATGGCTCTTAGACACCCTTCAAACTGGAACTGAACCCACTCTTAGGGATCATTTTTCAGCCAAACAATAGACTAGCCTATAAAGTGAAAAATAACACCTGCGAGGAATGTGCTCCTTAGAACAAGCAACCACATGAGACCAAAAGGGCAGTATTTGGCCAACAACAAAGTTCAGAAGGCAGAAAAGGACAAGGAAGATGGGGAAATGGAAATGTGGAACCCAGGGAAGAAGTAGGA